AAAGTTAGGTTTTGGACTTATGGGTCATCATCAGTAAAAAGTATATGTAAACTTGAGGAAGCTCCTATTCCCTAAAAAACTTGACCCTTAGTCACTGATATGCCCAAGGTTCTCCTCTGAATCCCTTAGCCGTTGAGCAATAAGCTAATTACATCTACCTCGTCTTTTTTCATTGGGAACTGGTGGTTAGTTTTCAATCGTTTGCATCATATTTTAATTGATACACATCGTTACCATTCACTTGCTTTACTACTGAAATACACACCAGTAGCTAATAGGTTGGAAAATAAGATAGACTGTGCAGATGATTGTGAACGTTTCAACGAAACTTGTCTTATTTTCCCCGATGTCGAGTTTATCATCCTAATCGAATATTAGCTAAAAGACGTCTAATCATTTCATCTTCGTCAAAATGCTCCAAATCAATAATTGATATCCTAAGGCCAAAGACAGAAAACCAAATGGTAATAAACAAACATATATTGTTTTATCTTAACTAAATGTCACTCACTAAGATAAATTTTTATGTTGTCGTTAGTTTCAATGTATTTCTCCTTTTCATGCTTTGTGATGGAACTCTTTGTTAGAAGATAGAAAATAGTCGGAAAGAAGCCTTATCCGACAACATCTACAAGCCTCATGGTACGCTCGGTGTATAGGTCACCTCTGGAGACACGACTTCTCTTAGTAGATCCAAACAGCTGAACCTTGGTGCAAGAGTAGGAAAGACTATTACTGTACAGTTCAAGAGTGCCGGTAGTGAATTTTCATCCTAGGTACTGGTACTGGTAATGGTAATGTTATTTTTATCAGCGGCAGTGGATGAAATAGGTTCAATCCGCCAAGGAGACATAGGATTCCTGGAGGTTGGAAAGACATCAAACTGATGATCTTCAATAAGCACAAACCTTATGTAGATAAACTCTCCTTTCCAACTACCTTTAATCAACAAGTAAGACCAATCAGATTGTATCGTCTTGATGAGTGTTATAGGTTAGATAATAAAATTCAGGCATGATTCATAGGATTCGGTTAGAATTAGAAAATAGGCAACACGACACTGAGCAACGTCTTATGAAAAGTTCATAAGACCAAGTTTATCCATTGAAATTCACAAATTATGCGGATGAGGAGTGTTACTAGAAAGCCTCATATGCCAAAACGAGTGTTGAACACTAAAGAAAGCCAATGGTTCAACCACGGAAACTCTAATCTGTCAGAATCAGGAAAGTGAGCCCACTGCATAATTTCGCCGTTTTATTCATCTTTCTGTTCTCTTTTTACGACAGTATGCCTGATCTTAGGTAGTGTGCTACTAACAACTAATTTCATCAGGAAAAACTTGATCGTTAAGCAAGATTTTCATCATGAACCGACACTGAGTAAAAAACTTCCCTATCAGATTTTTCTTTGTCCTCACTAGGTCGTTAACAGAGACCCATTCACCGCTAGTTGAATTGCAATGTGAGTACAGTACTTTGCATGTAGCTATTTAGCTGTTGTGCAAGAGACTTGCAGAATAGCTTGTAGCACATTATAATCTAGTCTTAATTGCAATAAAGTAAATAGTAAATGCTGTGGACTCCAGTAATAAACCGTATGAAACGTAATGCCAAATAGTCCCCCAAAATCAGCAGCCTAGAGTTTGATGAGACTCAACCTTGATGCTGACTTGAATGGTTAAAGCCGAATGTTGAAGCTGAAGGTACAAAATCAAAGAATTAACGTCATTCTGCACGCTGTGGCGCTTTGCTGCTAGTAACGTGACTCTCTGGCCAGTTATACGAAGCGCATCACTAATTTGACACAATTACGTTTAGTTGATTCACCACTTTGTTCACAAAGTGGTACAGTATTGTTTACTAGATTACTTTTCGGACACTACTGTGCATAGTCACATAAATACAACTAAACAATTTTGAGACATCCTTTACATAGTCCTAATTTCCTTACTCACTTATGATATAGGTAGTAAGAATTTCCAGAAATTCAGAACAAATACTGAGTCATTTCTGTTGTATGCATCAGGTGTTGATTCAATGAATAAAGATTCAGTTAATACTCTCTTCCACCACCTTGCTATGTCAATTTTAAAGATTTCCACCAAATCGTTACTTAGACTTCAAGTCGTCTCACTCTACAGCAGTTAAATTTGGCTTGGTGAAGTGTCTGAATAACAGAGTTAGAAAACTTTCTAGTAACAGAAAACTTATGACAAGAAACCAGATACATTAAGGACATCTTATACATCAACAACCACCCTCCTAAAGTAATTGATAAATTCCTCATGAATCGTAAGGAAAATGTGATTAATATTAGTGATACAGGTGTTAACAGTAGTAATAATAATGTCACTATTAATAGTGGCAATACTGCTAACAGAAAATTCAAAACCCCTACAGTAATCCCATGAAAAGAAGGCACCTCGGAGAGACTACGTAGGTATCTGAATAAAGCTAGTGGGGATTAGAGTGTCATGTAAACCAACAAATTCACTTCGAAATAGGCTTACTAGGTTAAAAATGCTATTGATGCAACTAGGCAGAATAACTTAGTTTACCGAATCCCTTGGAACATTTGTCGGGTCAAATGCATAGGCCAAAGTATTAGACGGTGGTCAACTGGGCTATACCAGCACAAAAATCTGGTTAGGTCAAAGTTGATAGATCCTAGTGAGATCCGGAACTTAGACAAAAGCTCAGCTACAGCTGTGCATTCAATTACACACAACTACACATAGGATAGGATATGGTGGAAATTTTAAAATTGACATAGCAAGGTGGTGGAAGAGAGTATTAACTGAATCTTTATTCATTGAATCAACACCTGATGCATACAACAGAAATGACTCAGTATTTGTTCTGAATTTCTGGAAATTCTTACTACCTATATCATAAAGTGAGTAAGGAAATTAGGACTATGTAAAGGATGTCTCAAAATTGTTTAGTTGTATTTATGTGACTATGCACAGTAGTGTCCGAAAAGTAATCTAGTAAACAATACTGTACCACTATGGGATACGTACAGCTGATCAACTAAAAATGAAATTACAGTCTATCACATTGCGTATGTTCCACAGTTTTGTTTTTACACGGTTTATGAAATGTAAGATTCTACCTGCTTACCCTAATGTGTTCTTGTTTGGTCGCATACCGGTGAGTATTCTACAAGTGCGAGGGATTTTCATGGTTGGAACTGCGTCTGTCAAGTTTGCTCGAGGACATTCCCCGTAAATCCCACCTTGATACTAGCCTGGTCTTCTGCTATAAACCACTCTTAGAAAGTCGGTCACGCTGTTTTCTCACTGCAATATGTTTAGTTATAATCGTCAGGGTGCCTAGAATCTATATTTTGTGCTGTTTTCCTTCTTTTGCCAAGTCCAAATAAGATTTGAGACTGAACTTTGGAAATTTAAACAGGCTTTAACACTATTTGGTGAACGACTGTTGTACTTTTCACTAGTCATTATTATCTCTGATAAATGTTGATCAAGTTAATGGGCCAACATTTCGACGTTATTGTAAAATCGCTGGCTTTGATGCCTTACAAAGTTTGTGTCTGTTATTTGTTGGTACCTGTAATGCCTGGTTGCTATTCTGCATCGAAGCAATCGACTTCTTTCGGAGTCTGAGCTGTCATGAGGATGCTTCGATATTTACTGAACATTTATTATCATAATTTTCTTGGTTGTGGCTAGCAAAGGAATCCCGGACGCATGTTTCATCCTTTTTGGGACTTGTTAGCAGGATGCATTTGCACCCCAGTGAGTGATGTTGTTCCCTTTTAGCCTGAAGTAACTGTCGCAGCACCCAGTTGCCTAGTGTATAACCCTTCGGGGTTTGAAGCAGTAGGTGTTGGGCTCGAATTTTAGTGGTAAGAACACCTCCCACCGGGAGGTAGGTACATCCAGCTGACGAGTGCAGAATAGGACAAGACAAATGTTCTGGATTTCACTGCTAGTCAACACTGGGCAAGTTATATAATTGTCCATCTGCTTAGTATATGTTATGAAAGGAAAAGAAACCTTAATCAATATCATATGTATATATATATGCACATTATTCTGTGATGAGCACAATTTGATCAAGTTTCTATGTATTAGTCATACTGTGACGCAAAAAGAATAGTGAAAAATGACACGTATATACACGAGGAATGAAAAAGTTCCTTAGCATACACACCACGCTGCATACTCACTGGTTTCCTTTATATTGTTTAACTTTGTTATCTCCCTCGCTTTCCCCTTTCTCTCTTCCTTCATCTGTTTTGCTGCAGAAAAGCAATACCTGTGATGACGTTGGTGATGACGACGACTGAAACAGTAGAAAGATAAACATAGACGAATATTCCAGAAATAAGAGGATATCACAAGTAAGACTTATGAAATGGAAAATGTGCCTAGACCGGGAGAATAAGTTGATTAAGGAGGATAATAACCATAATGTTGGGCAGCAAATAATTATTGAACAATTACTATTTAGATTGTGTATGTATTTGAGTGTGTGTATTTGTGCGTGGACGTATAACATAATCAACAAAATTACCCCATTATTGTTCCGTTGCACTCATTTCTTACTGAATTAGGATAGATTCTGTTCACTAAAAACTGCCTTCAGTATAATTCGTTGTTGCCATCTTCATCAATGGTGGCAGAGGCGATTGGTTACGTGCATCATCTATACGCAAAATTGTTTTCGGTGTAATACATGTTGGATAGTGATAACGACTAGTATAATACTGACTATTACTATTATTGTCATTATTACTAATATTACTACAAACGGTATTAGTATTACAGTTCAACAGTTGTGCGTTCACATCATAAGCGTTCATTTCATTGGCATAAACATTCGGATAGAATAGATCATATGCGTTTTTAGTTAATTGTGGTTTAACAGTTTGAAGAATATCATTTCTACTTATATTATTATTAGTAGTAGTATGCAGAAAAGTGTTAAAATGTTTAGTATTATTTAGATTTGAAGTTGTAGTGCTCATAGTCATTGTTGATGTCGTTGTTGTAGGCATATCTGACAGAAATAATCCATTATCACAATAATTAAATCATTTAAATGATAGAAATATTGATTTTTATCAGGTAATATTGAGTTTTTATACAATATTTGATCATAATACTTACTACAGTTAATATCTTGAGCATTATTATTACTGGTAATGATAATATTATCATTTGTATTATTTTGTATGAAATAATTAGACTGTTGTTGGTGTTCTTCTTGTTTCTCTAATCCTTGTATACCATTCATCGCCTCATGAGTAGTATACTCTTCAGATGTCTTTTGAATATAACCTCGTTGAATATTTCTACCTTTTCTACGTTTATTCTTTCTACATTTCGATATAATAATAAATAGCATAATTGTTGAAAGAATAATTATTAAACTAAAAGATATTATCAAGACAATGATGATTTTTAGTTCATATAACCCTGAATTATGATTTGTTGATTTTTGTAATTTTTCATGCTCATTATTATCATTTCGATAATCACTTGTTGTATTGATTAGACTATTTATCAATAAATCTATAGGAAGATTTAATTTATTTTTTGTTTGTATTGGTAGATGTATAAAAAAATAACCATCTGTATATAACTGACGTTGGACACCTTGATCTTGTACACGTATAAATACAACATAATCTTGACTACCATCTAATCGATCAATATCAAGTTGAATTTCTCCATTCATTGAAATTCGTATACAATTCAATGGTAAATTGAATTTATTTGAACCAATAAATTCTTTATATATACTATTTGGTTGAATAATACGCATTATTAATTTACTATTATCTCCATAATCAAAATCATAAGCTTTCAATACTGTACGTAGTTCAGTCGGTGAATTTTGATTGATTTCCCAAATTGGTTCAAGTTGATAAAGTGTTATTTCTTTGAAAGAATCCATCTGTACACGACTTGAACTGATAGTATGCAACCATATGGGTGGATTGTCATTCACATCTGTTACATAGATTTTGACTGTTTGTATAGATGTCAATTTTGTTGGATAACCCATATCCTCGACTAATATTTGTAAGGTGTACGTATTAATGTCTTCCCAGTTGATTAGTTTGTGATCACTTCTCGGTAGACTGATTAAACCTGTACTTGAATTGACTTGAAATGAAGGCTTTAAATGCTGAATAACGTCTTCATCATTATGATGATTGAAGATGGCCTTCATTTCAGCCACTGCTTGATTTTTTTCACCTGTAACTTTCAATATGAAATACTTTACTGTACCATTTTCACCGAAATCTTGATCGACTGCTTTTAGAAAACCAACCACATATGGATTAGTATCGTCCACATGATCATTTGAAGAAAAAGAAGCTGTAGCACCGGTGTCATCAGCATACCTATCCCATTCGTGTATCGTAAATCCATACACTAGACTTTCGCCTACAAGTCTAGGTTCATTATCGTTGATATCTGTTACATTGATTAGAATTTCAGTGTCTGCAGTTCGATCCACTATATTCTCTATCGTATTATCGTGTACACTAGCCCTCATGATACAATAAACCAATGCAGATTTTTCTCTATCAATCCCATTTGGTGCTGATATTTCACCAGTGAATGAATCAATTTCAAGTTGGTCACAACCATTGTTGAATGTCATATCCTTAGAATGTAAACTAAATTTGACGCCTGTAACAAGATCTAATAATTGAGGTCGTAAAATACTCATCAATGGACGATTTGACTCCTCTAAGATGATTTTATAAGTGTTTTGTTCAAAGCATAAGTCTGTCTGTTGAATATCAGTCAGTGAAATAGTCAAACTAATAGATGAAGTTAAAGCTGAAGGGGAACCATAATCTTTACACGTTATAACCATTGTAGTTGATGTTAATTTATGCACTGAATTCCTTCGATGCTGATGATTATCCTGTTTATTATTTAACACTAATGAGATATTCGCATCGAATACACTTGTGTCACCTTCTCTCATCACTTGTAGTGTATACAAGTATCGATTTGATATTTGACCATTATTGACTAAGTTAATTTTTAAATTTGAATATCTACTCCAATTATCATGATAGTCTTCCAATTTATGAATACAACTGACTTGACCATTTTCTCCAAGATCATCATCAGAGATGACAACAAAGCCTACATGACTTCCTGATTCAATGTTATACGGAATTTGAATTTCATTAGTCTCCATAGTGAATTTACTGCAACCAATTTTTTAATTTCTATCTGTGGTGCATGATTATTTACATCTAATACATTGAATAGAATACTTTGTGATACTTTATGTATTGGTGATCCATTATCTGAAACATGAAAGGTAATCTCAATTTGAGGAGTTTCATGAGCATTTAAAATCTTATTTAACCTTATTTCACCATTTTTTGGATTTATTGAAAAGAATTGACTATTTGAATTTATCTGTTTATGACTATCTTCATTACCATGACTATTAATACTGACACTGTTACTTAGACCAGTGAATATCTCTTGTCGAAAAGTATTCTGTGTTAAGGTATAGGTGAGACGTGAATTTGCTTCACTATCTTCATCTTTTGCTTCAATCTTTAGAATTAATGTTCCTGTCGGTAGATTTTCAGATATATTTACCACATGATAATTTTCAGATGGGAAAATATCTTTGGAGGATTGTCATTTACATCAATCACTTCAATTTTCACTGGTAATGATGCACATTCAGTCTGTGAAAAACTTGACTCACAAGCAATTAACTGGAAGATATACTTTTGTTGACTTTCATAGTTTAATTCATCTTTAATAAGTAAACAAGGCAGATTATTTAGAGTTTTATTGTCAGATTGAGTTTTTTTGTTATTATGACAACTTGTTAAACTAAAAATTTTATCAAAATTTTGTTTATTTAACATATCCGTTCGACTATTGGCATCCATTTGATAGTTAAGTTTGTATATAATTTCAGAATTTTTCAAGTCTGTATCACGATCAAATGCTTTAACAAGAGGTAGTTTTGTACCGATTGGAATATTTTCTTGAATTGATATACTGTAAAATCCAGACCATTTAGAAGAACTGGCCTCTAGAAATATCGGTCTATTGTCATTAATATCTTCTATATGAAATATAATTGGAATCCAACGTTCGTCAATTGAATTGTTTAAACTTACAAATAAAATCAATTTAAGTAAACAATCATAAGAATTAGATGTTAGTTCATGACTTTTTAAATTGTCTGATAGATTGTTTGAAATTGTTTTTGACAGAAAAGACCTTGTCAATGAAGATGAGGCTGAGGATGATGATGATGTTGATGAAGACGGAGAAGAGGTCGAGTAAACTATTGGCTTAGGACATATTGCCTCGTAATCAATAGAACTTTGTATAAATAAATTACCTGTTTGTTGATCCAACTTGAAAAAATCACTTGATTGTTGAGAGTTTGTATCATATGCAGTCAATTCAAACTTTTGCATTTGTTTAATTGAATATAATGGTATGGTGCTGAGTTGAAATTCCTCATATAACCTTTTTACATCTTTGAATAGATTACCGATAAGTGTGCCAACTGGGAGTTCTTCTTCAATTCTGTATGAAAGATAAATTGTTTTATTGATGTCAAGAGTATTCTGCATGTTTACATGATATAACATGCCCACAATAATTAGGAAGATAATATTACTCGCCAATAAATATTCATTACTAGACTTGTGAGGCATTATTTATTACGTCATAATGAAAAGTGCCAAACATACTTTCATGTGTTGACTAGGCAAATGAGTTACATTATAAAAGTGATGAATTGGTGACTTCGTTGAATGATTTCAACGCGGCATGAATAATAATGCTCATATCCAATTGGTTGAGCATACTTGAGAAATAGACCAATGAGAAGCAAGTCTGTGGATGACCAATAAGCAATGGTCAGTATAGATGTATTGTGATGTTTGTCTGCATAAGTGAGAATACCGATTCCAATTGGTTTATCTGTCTTGCACACGCCTTAATAAAATAAAGTGACCATTTCTCTGTGATTTATACCGCCAAAGTTTAGCACGATAATGATCTACAGTAGTCACATGTGTACCCTTCACATCGTAGGTACACCTCGATGGCGAATCGGTGGATACAGGAAACTTCGTCGCCTGTCTTGATGTGCCGTGCCAGGGGAAGTTGGATTAGATTGAAAGAGAGTTCAGAGTGCCCAGACCAAAACCTAACACTAGCCAATGAAGTTCATGACTGTTGGTCTGAGCCATATGGTAGATATGTGGACCGCCTGGGTGAGATTCTCAGAGACGGAAGGAATCAGTAGTTCAGGCCTCTTGGTGGTGACATGGCAGAAAATTTGTCACAGTGACGCGAATGTATTTACTGTTTGACGTCTTCTAGAGCTTGAATATTCACACTAACCTTTTTCTTCAAACCCTATATTCTCATACGCAACTTTGTATACTTTGATATCCCTCTTTTTCTATCCACCCGTTCTTTGAATCCTAGTGTGATGTGTATCAACTTGAGGTGATGAACTTGCATGAGACTATCGGTCTTTCTGTCCGAATACCTTCTTCATTGATTACGCTTAAGTGAGGAAGAGTATCTGTTCTTCCTTAGCGTGTTTCTAGCCTTTTTGCATGCCATCAGTAAAACATGTCAGAGAAGTGAATTGTGCGGATTTCTCACTTATGATTTATGGTATGACAGTGATAATAGATGATGTATTGAATATTATCTACAGCATCCGGAACACATCCATTCTGTTCATCGTTGTCAACATAAGCAATAGCTGACAGTCAAATTCATGAGACTATAATGCCTGGGACAAATTTATGCATACAAATATGGACACAAGTTCGACTGAAAAAGGTATCGAAAAGTTAGGCAGAAGAAAAGAGTGCAAGGGAAATATTAAAGGGTTAGTTCACTGATAAGTTTGTGATTGATAGGCAGTCCAATAAACGCACCCTGTCAGCGGCGAGCATGAGAAATATCTGCAAGATCAGATGTCAGATCAGGAAGGGGCGGGGGAGAATTTACGGCACAAAATTAAGAATAAGCAGTTACTTCTCAGCACATACGGATGAGTAAGTCAGTCAACTGCAGAGTAAGTTTCATGACTGACTTTAAAGGTTACCCTTAAAGTGTCGCACATAACCAATTAAGTGTCTTTATTTTATAAACAGCAATCAGCACGGCTGAAATGCCGAAACCTGATTGGATATTTCAGCAGTTGCTACAATGGTCTTTAAATTCACGAGCACATATCATTGTTAATAGCTGAAGCAAAGAGTCATAGGGACTCAATATATCTGAACCGATTCAAGATACACTTTGCATCCATCTAAGTGGTATACACAGAAGTGACTAATTTTGAGGAGATTTTCATCATGTCTCGAGATAACCTGGAAGACCAATAGAGCTCCGGTCACCTACTTCGTCGTAATTTGAGAGTCTTCTGCAGCAGGAACTTTAATTGTTTGTCGGAATTTTGTCACTGAGCATCCAGACTCACGTAGAGTAAGTTAACATGCAGCCTCTTGGTTGAAACCGATTGGTGTACATTTTTTTGGAGTTCCTTTATTGCGGAAGGTAGCAAATCGAAGCGTATAAAAAATGTACTGTTTTTAAAAACAGGGGAAAATCTACCTCAAATAATTCGGAAGTTGAAGAAAAGCCAATGATTTTGATAATAAAGTTAACGAAAAAAAGCCATCGTGTTTTTTGATAAATATCCAGACGGCATATCACTCTACCGCTTTTCAGTTAAGTCAGATTTCATAGGATACTTAACTGACTGACACAGACAGACCATCAGTGAAGCAAAGGACGTAGTTAAGTCAATGAAACTAGTTGGCGAAACATACCTGCTCAACTTCTGTCCCCTAAAGTTTATCTTTAGAAATGTATAGGAAGGTATAAGAAAAGAATCAATAATGGTAGCATACAGGCGAAATCAACGTAGAATCTCTCATACAAGTGTATCACTTCAAATTAACACACTTCACAGTAATATACAAAGAATAGGTGGATAGAAGAAGAGTGATATCAAAGTAGACAAGGTTTTGTGAAAGAATAAACAGTTTGCAGACAAAGGTTAGCGATTTCAGGTTAGTACTTATCATGAACTGACATCAGTTAGAAAACAGTGGAAGGCTGGGGAGCTGTCTTGTCCTAGTACAGAACTCCTCAACTGGGGATCGAACCCAGAACCTACAAGTTTCGCTGGCAGTGAGTTACCAATGAGGTAATGGGTGGGAATCTATTGGTTAGCGTGAATACTCAAGCTTTAGTAGACATCGAAAAGTGAATATATCTGCGTCACCGTAATCGATTTTCAGCCATATCACTAAGAGTCCTCAGCCACTGATCCCTGTTATCTCTAGGACGCCTACCAGATAGTCAGTATCTTTCCACATGGCTCAGACCAACAGTCAGGGAATCCGTTGGCTGACGGCAGATCTCAGTCTGGCCCTCCTGAACTCCTTTCTAACTAAATCGAGTTACCCCTGGCATAGCAACACATGCCCAAGCCATTTGAGTCAACTAAGGTTCACAACTTTATCACTAGGCTCGCCTTTCTTCCCTAGTATCCTTACCCTGACCCCAATATTGCTTACACAGTAATTCCACTATGCACGATCAATGCTATGAAGGTACATATGATCAAAACCCTTTGACTGCTTAACGTCTTCTGCTCTTAACGGCGATGTCTCAGCTGTATAGCAGAACAGAACGAACTGCAGTGCACTATAGCCATCATACGGTAGACAATTAGATATCATCTAGCCAGTTTGCGCTACAGATGATGCAAGTTAGTAAATGCCGATTAGGCCTTCTGTATTTGATCAGAGGTTTCGTCAGAGACTAGCCCATTCAGGCCGATGCAATCTCCGATGTGAGTGAAGTGGCTGACATATTCCGCCAATCCACTCCTTATCCCTTAACTGGGAGTGGTTGGAGAGGGAATTCAAGGCTTCCATGATGTCATCACGCGCCAGTGGAACGTCAATAACTCTACACATAATTTTTAACAAATATGGGGTTGTACTCAAACCTAAGAATAGATTAAGAATAAACTTTGTTGACCTGAGGATCTGAGTGCTTCGATTGGAAAAAATTATTCAGTCTGCAATATGCTGTACAAATTTTCACCGTTAAGTACATAGGCTAGGATACAAAAATAGGATCAGTTACGTTTTCAGAGTATAGAAATTCAGCTAAGTTTAGATTCCAGGTAAACAGCTGGTACTTGTTACACTGAAGGTGGTTATCATACCACATTAGCCTAGTGGATAGCAATTCATTTTTGAAGCAACAGTTTCTAGGCTTGAGTCTCACACGGAACACCACCACCCACTAGGATGTTAGTACACCCAGCCGACTGCTGTCGAATAACAGGTTACATCCATCCAGGATTCTTTTGCTATCCACCACCGACCGTATCAGATTAAGTCAGTAGCTTTCACTAAGTCAAAAAACCTATAAAAAAACTCGTTAATTACTTTGCATGCATTGATACACAAATTCAAGAGCTAAATGCCACTGTAGGTAGATGTTGATATAAAGAGATAAATAGCAATAGAACATCGAATCCTTATCGACACGGGCAACTGGGATGATTCAAGACTCATCCCAAAAATATGGTAAACTCTGATACCACAAGGAACCAAAACAGGAACAATAAGCTAAAATGTCTTACATTGTGAGATCACCTTCATTTGATTGAAGGCGACAAAATGTATGCCAAACAATATCAACTAAATAATACTATATCATTAAACAACAAAACAAGATTTTTAAAGAGTCTTATATGAAAACACATCCTACCACAGTGCCTAAGTCGTACCATTACACTAAGAAGGTTGAATTTTGTTGGCACCAAGGGGAATACAGATATTCCAGTGACTTCAGATTAAATTTTTAAATTTTTTCTCTTAAACTGATGTTAGATCTTCCCAACATAGTCACCATATCCTCCATCGTTTATGTTATGAATGAATGAATAACTTCCAGAGTAATGTGGAAGAGTGACAGGTAGAAATCATCTTGATGGTTTAACCAAATGCTTGGAACTTGAACTAGGTGTTACCACAACTGGCTGACATAGCATAAATGTCACCAGGAATATGAGGACTGAATACACCATTAAGTCTACTAAATGGTTGTTGAAGTGTAGGTAGGTGACTGAAAGGCGATTCACTTTATTACATGATGGAAACTTATTCCTCTTGATGGATCTAAATTCTCCCTACTGATCACTGCAGATGTGTTTTTTCCCCGGAAGTAACTATAAGAATTAAAGAAAAAAATGACTTCATTCGCATTCATCAACCGTAATCAATCATCATAGACTACAATACTAACCGGTGACTATTTCTCCTCAAAAGTGACAGTCATGTAGAAAGGGCGACAACAGTGCGTCTTTAGTAAGTCATAAGCATACAGGCGCAAAACAGTCTGCCTTGGCAAAGTCACCAGCCTAAAGTCGAAATGACAGAATAGAATCACTGCAGCAGAAATACTCGTACTGTATAATATCATGAAGAAGTAAGGTAGTATTGTCTAGTAGGGGTGTGGTAAAACGGTGG